GTGTATATACACGATGTATTTCAGAAATTCGTTTAAGTCCTCCATCACGTGGCTGTAAAATAATATCACGCTTTTGAGGCTCAACTTCATGTTCGCCTCCAATCAAGATAGCTGCAACTTCACTTGCACTCGGAATATTATATTTTCGAGGATCGGTTAATCTATTATCAGTTATTACCATCTTTAAATCCAACGATGGATTGTGCTTTAATTGTTCACTGGCTTGACGAAACACTCTAACATATGGATTTATATCGTGTAACATCTGCTGAAGCTCTGATAATATAGTCAAGTCCATCCCAGGTATTACATTCATCCGATTTTGCAACTCGTGATCCGTATCATATATATATATTTGGGCAAATTGCGGATCGTTGTCTATATGATTAGGAAGTAAAAAGCCTATATTATGATACATTTCATCATGTATTCGAAAAGTATAGATGCCACAAGTGCCCGTTACAGAAGAATCGATCTTAGCATCCATTGATGTAAAGGATAAAGCTGAATTGTATTTTCTAATATTTTGACGAAATAATCGAGACTGAGAGTCAGTCCCTGTAAGGAGTGCATCTAATAGAGATGGTAATTCTTGAAGAGGTGGAAGAAGAACTTTTCCTTTAGCGCAGCAAGTAGTAAAACTTGGAGACTTAATAGAAGAATTCGATGTCTTTTCATTCAACCACATTTTAGCTCCACAAAAAGAACATTTACGGTCTATTTCGCCAAGTGTATGATGGTATAGTCCCTGTGAATTCCACGGAAAAATACGCGCTTTTGGAATTTTAATCGATGTTGAAACTGAAGGCACACTTGTAGAAGACTCTAACGCTTTTGTAGAAATATAAGACAATGTAAGTGAAGGCACACTTGTAGATGTTTCTGAAACATTTGTAGTAATGTTTGACAAAGCAGTATCTGAAAACGTACTTGTAGATAACTCTGAAGTGGTCGTAATAACGCTATTTGAAGAAACATTTGTAATCGAATCCGAAGAAGTTGCGTGAGTGTTGGTAGAAATATTAGCTGGTGAAATAGTTGAAGACAGCTCTGCAGTAGTTATGTTAACACTATTAGAGGGTATAGTGCTTGAAGTAGTCTCTAAAGTTGTTACGCTTATACGTTTTTTTCTTCTCGATTATCTAAACATTTCTAATTGTTCAGGCAACAGGTTTTCTTTTCGTTGTGCTGCAGCCTTTCTTCATTTTTCCAATCGTGCCTCTCTTTCCTCAACAGTCTCATTTTCTCTTCGACGTCTGTCTGCTTCTCTTCTTAATCTCATTCGTCTTTCTTTTTCAGTTTCATTAGCATTATTGGATTGTTGTGCAATTTGCTGGGTTTCCGGAAGTTCACTAAGCATTTTGCTGAATTTTTATTTTTTTTTTTGAGTTCGCTACTATTCTAAGAAAGAAGAATGAAGCATGCTTTATTATCTATTTAATTGTATTTATATGCATTCACTATTTAGGTCTAAAAATCAAAAAAATAGACAATACAGTAATAGTAATTTTCACGTGACTCGATCAATTAAAGGTAGATTATTTAATTATTACGGTGTTACTGTATTATGTTAGATAAATATATTAGTCGCGATCTGCATCACATGTGCATAGTATATGCAGCATTTTAAAAATAGAGGTAGTTTAAAAAAGGTCGGCAGTTTAAAAGGTCGATCGTCCACATTACACACGTAAGATTTTAATATATAGATATGCAGACCAACATAGGAATACAAGAATTTATACAATACAAATTTTAAAACTAACCTGATACACAACAGTATCCTCTAGCAATCCAAGCAAAATTCAAATACTTAAACCATATTTTCTTTCTTATATTCACTAGAACAAAAAGATTTATACTACAACACCAAAACAAATATGAAGAGCAATTCTATAATGCATTGCAAAATTACAAAAGTACAAAACAAATTACTATTACTAACAAAAAAACTAAAAATGATATATATATAAAACTTTGACAAAAATTATTTCTTGATTTTATAACCAATACCAACTTTAGCAGCTGTCCTCCAAAATATATTATATGACTAATCAAATATTACAAAGGATTTACCAAGAATACAACCTTAAACACCTATGATAAAATTCAAAAAGCACAATAAATGAAAGATTACAACCTTTACCTGATCATTCTAATGATATTCCTGAACATATACAACAAATACTACCATTTACTCTGTTGATAAAGAACAAAGCACAAACAAAAGCTATTATAATTGCTCTTCATCGCTTATACCAATTTGAAAACTATCAGAAAACTACTTTATAAATCTTGATTCCCTTCCTACTCTTCTTAAAAACCTTCATTTAGCAGTACAAAAACTGTTTCTGATCACTGACAAACAAAGTCTGAGAGACTTAGCTATTACTAGAGATGGTAAAGTTGCTAGGTTTAGAACCTAAAATCTGGTTTTTAGAACCTGGTTTTTAAAAACTAGGTTCTAATTTTGGAATCTAGATTTTTAGGTTTATGATAGGTTTTTAAGTTCTTAGATTTATAATAGGTTTTTAAGTCTAGATTTACAATAGGTTCTTAGGCTTATAATAAGTTCATAAGTTCATAATAGGTTTTTAAATTCATGATAGATTCTTAAAGAACAATAAAAAAAAGGTGCATTATAGTAGTCATGTATTTATTTGAGCCTGAATTTAAGAATGCTTTAGAGAAGGTATGCACTTATAGAGTCATATTTATTGAGGTTTCACTGTATTAGTTAGACCCAAGTGAAGACATATATTTAAGAAAGGCTTTCACAGAGCATGTATACAAGGAGTTGTATTTAGAGGTCTGACTATACTATAAAACTTATATCTTATTCAGGTTTTAGAGCCAGGCTTCGGAACCAATTCTAGAACCAGATTTGGAACCAGGTTCCAGAACTTTTTAAAAACTAAGTTTTTAGATTTACAAAATAGAACCTAAAGGTTTTGAAACCAAAACCAAACCTAAACCAACCTAATTATCCCTAGCTATTACAGAAGACAACTATAACAATACTATGAGTTTATTTCAATCCTAGTTAATTATTTTAATTTGCCACCTTCCAAGATATCCTACCAACAGCTTACTAGAATCTTAATTATAAACACAAAATATACTTTCCACTTGATTCAAATAACTGCCAAGAAAATAATTAACAAACTATAGAAAGACTATATAAAGACTACATTTTTAAAATTCTACTACACGATTATTATGATATTAAACCACCACTATCCAAAGACTTGACCAAAATTAAAATAATAAATGAATATAAATTTCTAATTACTGATAAACAGGAAGCTATAAACTTTATTTACGAAATCAGCTCTATTTACAAATTCAATATACCACTTCTACTTGAAATAATGACAGCTAACACTACTGATAAACCTATATTTTCTAATGATCCATATCAGCAAAAAATATATACAAAATATTGCGAAAGAATTTGCGATGCCGAAATATTTTGAAATTATTGGATTAACGCAAAATATTTTGAAATAAATAATTTCGAAAAATTTCAAAAATTATTTCAAAATATTGCGAAAGAATTTGCAATAAACTGCGAAGAGTTTAATTATATTAGCATTTGAAAATATTTCAAAATATTTCGAAATAATTCGAAATAATTCGAATTAATTCAAGCTAAACGAAATTTAGAAATATACTA